CTGGTTTATTGTGCTAGTTTATTGTGCTGGTTTATTATGCTAGTTTATTGTGCTGGTTTATTGTGCTGGTTTGTTGTGCTGATTTATTATGTTACTTTATTGTGCTGGTTTATTATGCTGGTTTATTGTACTAGTTTATTGTGCTGGTTTATTGTGCTGGTTTATTGTGCTGGTTTATTATGTTACTTTATTGTGCTAGTTTATTGTGCTGGTTTATTGTGCTAGTTTATTGTGCTGGTTTATTATCCTAGTTTATTGTGCTGGTTTATTATGCTAGTTTATTGTGCTAGTTTATTGTGCTAGTTTATTGTGCTGGTTTATTGTGCTGGTTTATTGTGCTGGTTTATTATGTTACTTTATTGTGCTAGTTTATTGTGCTGGTTTATTGTGCTAGTTTATTGTGCTGGTTTATTATCCTAGTTTATTGTGCTGGTTTATTATGCTAGTTTATTGTGCTAGTTTATTGTGCTGGTTTATTATGCTAGTTTATTGTGCTGGTTTATTGTGCTGGTTTATTATGTTACTTTATTGTGCTAGTTTATTGTGCTGGTTTATTGTGCTAGTTTATTGTGCTGGTTTATTATCCTAGTTTATTGTGCTGGTTTATTATGCTAGTTTATTGTGCTAGTTTATTGTGCTGGTTTATTGTGCTGGTTTGTTGTGCTGGTTTATTATGTTACTTTATTATGCTAGTTTATTGTGCTGGTTTATTGTACTAGTTTATTGTGCTGGTTTATTATGCTAGTTTATTGTGCTGGTTTATTATGCTGGTTTGTTGTGCTGGTTTATTATGTTACCTTATTGTGCTAGTTTATTGTGCTGGTTTATTGTGCTGGTTTGTTGTGCTGGTTTATTATGTTACTTTATTGTGCTGGTTTATTATGTTACTTTATTGTGCTAGTTTATTGTGCTGGTTTATTGTGCTGGTTTGTTGGGCTGGTTTATTGTGCTGGTTTATTATGTTACTTTATTGTGATAGTTTATTGTACTGGTTTATTGTGCTAGTTTACTGTGCTGGTTTATTCTGCTGGTTTATTATGCTAGTTTATTGTGCTAGTTTATTGTTCTGGTTTATTATGCTAGTTTATTGTGCTGGTTTATTGTGCTGGTTTATTGTGGTAGTTTATTGTGCTGGTTTATTGTGCCAGTTTATTGTGCTAGTTTATTGTGCTGGTTTATTGTGCCAGTTTATTGTGATAGTTTATTGTGCTGGTTTACTGTACTAGTTTATTGTGCGGTATCGTAAAACCAGAATAAAGCAAGTAACACTGTGTCTGTATCAGAATCAACTGGACATGGTTCCTGGTATCACTTAGATATAACAGTCGTTGAGTATATAACAGAGAGATGTTAATACACAGGTTCCCGCCAACTTCAAAGGTCGAACAAACGTGAGTGACTGGAAGTTAGGTGCTGATGGAGTCTTTTCCAGCAGCGACAACCTCGTCGATGTGAAGCTGCTACAGCAAGTGTACACACACACATCAGCCTCAACAAAGTCGGTGGTTTTCGGGAGGAAACCGACTTACAACCTGATTTAAGTACCTGGTGAGCCAGGTTGTGATAGCTACGTGATGTTGCGAGCCACCAGCAACAGCAGTCCAGGAGGAAGCCTGGCTTCTGGTTGGGCTATCTGGCCGCAAGCAGGGCTGCGAGGGTAGCAGAAATCTGGACACCCTTCACAGGTCGGTCAGAAGCATCACAACGAGGGCAGTAACAACCATTCCTTACTAGCTTTAAATATCTACTGTAATGCAAAACAACCACAGGAAGAGTTGAATGATAGCTCTAGACCTTTCGTCTTGGAATCAACACATCTTCAGGTGCTTGCAATATTGCAGAAATGAGCAGGTAGATTCCTTCAAGGGAACACCTCTAGCTAGAGTCGTTCCCTTGAACGAATCTACCTGGACTTCCTGTTCATTTCTGCAACACTGCAAGTTCCTAAAGATGTGCTGATTGCAACACATCTTCTGTGGTTTTTGCATCTTGTATCGCTTGTTCGCGATTATTACATCTCAAGTAATGTGTAGACTCAGGTCCACGAGTTTACTTCCGGACTCCTGCGCTACGGCGCCCCACACCTTCATAATTAGTTAATTTAAGTGAGACACTTTCTTACTGTTAATGAAGGAATTAACTGGAAGTTAATAGGCGCAAGTTGTTATCGCTTAACACTTTTTAATAAAAGTCAACTTAAAAGAAGAAGAAGAAGAAGAAGAAGAAGAAGAAGAAGAAGAAGAAGAAGAAGAAGGAGAGGAGAGAGAGAGAGAGAGAGAGAGAGAGAGAGAGAGAGAGAGAGAGAGAGAGAGAGAGAGAGAGAGAGAGAGAGAGAGAGAGAGAGAGAGAGAGAGAGAGAGAGAGAACATCACTCCATCTGAGATGATATATACCCAGGATGACTCGAGTATGGAACACATTCGTACAGCATAATGATGTCAACGAGATAAAGTCAGTTGATCAAATGAAAATGCTGGCCCACAGATGGCTCCAACTTCATCCTGTTCCCTACTTGTATGTCTCATAACAATAAAAATGCTTTCAAATGAGCTGATGTAGGTAACAGCTTTTAGCTTGTCAATAAAGTTAGGAATCCTTAACCTGTAAATAACTTGTCAATAAAGCTAGGGATCCTTAACCTTGTCAAACCCTGTGTAAAAAAAAATATGAAAAAAAGAGAGGAGAGGGGAGAGAAAAATTGTAAATACACTGATGTAGGTAACAGCTGTTAGCTTGTAAAACTCTCTAAAACACTGTGTAAAAGAATTGTAAAAAAGTGTAAAAAAATATGTGTAAAAAACTGCAAAAAAAAAAAAAATCCTGTGTAAAAGCAGAGAAGAGAGAGAGAGAGAGAGAAGAGAGAGAGAGAGAGATAATGAGGGGAGGGAGGGTAAATAGGGGCAGCATCAGGTAGACACATAAAGACAGTTACAGTGACCCACCATAAAGAAGATAAGAACCACCACTCGTTTTCTTTTACTGCTAATAAGATGACACCCGTAAGTTTTTATTTTCCTCTTTCAATACTGACCAAATTTATCTTTAGTTCATCTCTCTCTCTCTCTCTCTCTCTCTCTCTCTCTCTCTTCTTCTCTCTTACCTCTCTCTCTCTCTCTCTTCTCTCTCTCTCTCTCTCTCCCTCTCTCTTCTCTCTCTCTCTCTCTCTCTCTCTCTCCTCTCTCTCCTCTCCTCTCTCTTCTCTCTCTCTCTCTCCTACCTCTCTCTCTCTCTCTCTCTCTCTGCAGGTGACTAAACTGATGGACTGAGCATTAGTAAAAATTTATAGATTAAAACATCTGCGTATTATTATTATCATCAGGAGTGAGCGCTAAACTTGTAGGGATTATACAGCGCCTGTAGTGGGGGGTGGATGGAAGGTATTCAGGCTTAATTCAGGGAACTGGAGCACAGATCCAGTTCCCTAGATCAAGAGCTCCTCCCTAGCGTCAAGGAACATCTAGAGCAGCTGAGCTTTAACAGAGTCACAGACCCAGACGAGTTATCAGCCAAAATATTAAATAATCCAGGTATCCAATGGCTGCCATGCCCTTAAAGTT